AAAATGTTTGGTGAATAAATACTTTTAGTTTCTTTCAGATACAATTAGCCACAGTTTAATTCACGATCACTATAATTCTGCATTAAAGGAAGGAGCAATCAGCAAACAATATCATTTAATGAACCTCGACTCATGTACTAATGCATAAACACGCACGTGCAATAATTAGAATCATGTGCATGCATTGCTTTGAAACTAATCCAATAAAGTAAATACAAGGAAGAAGAAGAAGTGCATACACAAATGGTTGTACGCGGTATAATTCTTATTCTCAATGAATGCTTGAGCATAAGCATCCCTCGTGAACAACTGAAGAAATTTCTCCTGCAAATCCAAATAGTTCAAACGCAGTTATTATAATATTTCCAATTATTTCAAGAAACTTAAGCTCTTATATTATCACAACATATAACTCCTTTCCAGTAAGAGTTCAAATGTCAAACCATTTCTACGAAAAGATTAATGTAGTGCAGTGATGCATAAAGAAACATATGGGGTAGCAGCGTAAATATGATCTCATAAATTATTATATATATATGCTAATTAAGAGATAAATCGATAACTTGCATTTAAGGTTCAGCCAAAGTGAAATAGGTTTGGTTTTTGCTTGCATTTTAGAATAGATTCCTCACTAATCAAAGTTATTTTCCTTTAATCATGCTTTAATCCCCATTTCCCAACCCTAAAATTCACTAGAAATTCAATTATTAACAAAAAAAAAAACAAGAGCGTAGTACCATACGCATAAATGCTGTACGTTTGATCTTCAATTAAGAGTATCTGCAACCAAAACCCTAGATTATCGAAATTGGGGAAAAAATTGAAAAGGCATACCGAAGCTTTATTAATGAGGAAGACGGCTTCCTGCGAGATTTTGACATCCGGATTTTCGCTCTTGATGATTCGGCTGACGCGATTCATCGGAAACGTGTACAGCGCGTTGTCGCCCTTCTCCTCCGCCTCCGATTCGCCGCCGTCGTCTTCTACTTTTGTACTTTTCCTTTTCCCCTTATTTTTCACATCCTCCATTTTACCTTTCGTCCCGATGATTTTTGGCCTCTTTTGTTCTTCATTTTCATCATCCGAGCTTCTTTCATCTTCCTCCGCTTCGTCTTCATGTTTCCGACTTGTCTTTTTTCCTTTATTTTTCACATTCTCCATTTTACCCTTCTTCCTTTCTTCGCTCACATCCTCATCGCTCGAGCTTCTTTCTTCAATTCGTTCCACCTCATCGGCCTCGCTGGACTCCAAAACGTCGTCGTCGTTCTGAGATTCCGCGCTCGACGAAGGCACCGCGGCGAGAACTTCGGTTTCCTCGCTGGAAGCATCGTCATCGCCTGTTTTGGTGATCCTGCTTCTGATTTTGGGGTTGCGTTTGGTGCTGATGGTGGCGGATTTTTTAGCTTTGCTTTTGATTTTGGTCGGGGTTTTGGAATTCTTGTTGGCTTTCGCTGCTGGCACTTGCTTTTTCGCCATTGTTGTGAGATTCGTTATTCGGACCAGATAATTAATTTTATGCATAATGCCAGTTGCATTTATAACCGGGCCGGGCATTGGATTTGGGCTTATTTGCACTCACGGTTTTATAGGGCTTCCTTTTATTTGAAATAACATTTCAAATTTGGACTATTATTTCCATTTATGATAATATTATGTTGTACGTTTATTAATTTACAAAATATTTGAATTATCCTATTATTAACGTGAAATTTGAGGTAGCATGGTAACTACCTTGCACCTAGAATCTATTTGGTAAGAAGAAAGTTATGATAATCATGTCACACACATACCCTAAGAATCAAATCTTAAGATGAAGCTCGAGAATCCTAATGCAAACCTTAAATAATCTGTAAAAGCAATTAATATGCACGTGATTTATAGTGGTTGGGTCATATGAGATCTACATCCATTTTAGAATACTCGCCGCAATACTTTTATTTATGATCAATTTGAGATTACAATTATAAGAAATCACTCTCTCAGATCTCAGAAAGAGGAGCAACAATGACGATCATTTTCAATGGAGACTCTCTCTCTTATCTCACTTTGTTCTCAAATGAAAACCTAAAGTTTCTCTATCTCTATATATAATCTGAGTATATTTGTTCATCTTTCTTCTATGTGACACCGTGCAATATTTGATCATATATATGTGCATCCCATTTTCTCAACAAAATAAAAGTTTTTAGCTACACATAGGCCGTTCCAACTTGATCCCCTATCAGCTGATAACAACACTTCTCTTCCATTAGTATTCTTGCACGTCACGTTGATGATCAATCCAGCTCAATCTTCAGCTCCAGCCTTTGATTTTCTATGTGCCGAGAACAATCTGAATCACTAATTAATGTAACAAAGAAAAGTTATAATTACTTAATTTATGTAAAGTTATCTAGTTTAGCTAATTAGTTAAGCAGATAATACTCGGTAATCCGGGGGTTCTATAACCCTGCTTGAGTAATTAATGACATACATAACCTTTTATTAAATGACAAGTATTTATTGAAGATGTATATATGAATTTATGATATAACACAACAAATTAGGAGGTCCAACAATATAAATTGACAATGAAGAATAGTTTATAGTACAATAGACTTTGGTCCATACTAATTCTACCTCCTCACGAAATCTGGAGTTGGCCCTTGTCGTTGATCACAACGTGTTGGTCCATCAAATTATTGTGGCTATAATTTATAATTTGATTGTCAAACGCCTAAAAGCTTATGTTTAAGTGGGCCAATAGGGAATAAGCACTGCTCAACCAATTAATGTAATTTTATTTAAAAAAACAAATATGCACGAATAATATGCACGAATAATAATAAAATAGTTGCCCCCAAGATAAAAATATCAGACACAAACATAACGGTCACAATTCACAAATTAATTGATCTTAAATTCTTGGGTAAATTACAAAATTTACGAAAAAACCCCTCTTGTTTGGATAATTACATCTACCCCCTCAACTATGATTTTTTCTTACACTTCCACCTTTATTGTGTCAAATTCAACATAATTATCTAGATTTCGTGGAATGTGCTCTAGTTTGTACTCATTTTGTGTAAATTTTTTACAGTTTCAGATGCATCACAATCTGATATATACAAACCAAAAAACACATATTATGATCATCTTACTTCAAAATGTGGAGTTCAAATGAGATTATAAAACGGATAAAAAATTGATAATATTCCATATATTCTAGAAGATTCCACTAAATTTTATAGTTGAGGGTGATTGTAATTACCCAAACAGGAGGGGGATTTTCGTAATTTGACCGTACCTCATGCGTGGTTGTAATTTATCCTAAATTCTTAATCCAACGAAAAAAGTAAAGACAACACAACATTGTCACACCCGCGCACAATAGCATTCAGCCTTACCTAGAGCTGAGCGACAGGTGTCTCGTGACTAAACCGGTGGCGCGTCCTCTCCGGCGTACGATGTTAAGTGTATATTTTTACACTTTATCGTATCTTTTTATTTGAGCTTTTGGTGTGTTTTAACGATAATTGGTGCTTAAAAAGTTGATTTATTGTATTTTAGGTACAAATTGAAGAATTGGAAAAGTATGGGGTCAAAACTGCAATTTTGGAGAAAATATGGGCCAAAAGTGAAAAAAGCAGAATTCTGGAGAACAGACCGCGCGGCCGTGCGGATTTTAGGCATAAATCTCACACGGCCGTCCGGATGGGCGAGTTGGCGCAGTGAAGGAATCTTAATTGTACAAGGAAACTGCCTTCTTCCCCAAGTTTTTCACCCTATATAAGACCAAGCCAAGCACACAATTAGGGATCCATCTTTTGACGCAATTTCAAGAGCAACAAAGCAATAACGAAGAATTCGAAGACTCCAAGCAAAGATTTATCGTCTATGATTTATTTTATTTGCGTTTTTGATTTAATTATGAGTAGCTAAACTACTTATTTCTAGGATTTTATTTGGAACCCTATGTGGGATTTATGAACCCTTTTCTATGATTTTATGCAAGTTTTAATTCCGGATTATTTCTTCTACTTGTTTTATTAAGTTCATGAAACTGGCCACTTTATGCGCTTTTATGTTATTGTTAATCGCATGAATCGGAAGATCGGGTTAATAATTAGAACTGTGGTAGAAGAGCCTTTGTGGTATTAACATAGGAATATAGTTAATCTCTTAGGTAGCCATTATTGAGATTTGTGCTTCATGCTGTGTTCTAGAATTAATTGCATAGGAATATAGTAATTGAATCTAGAGTATTAGAATCGTAATACACGCGGAAGCGGGTTATGATTATTTTAGCATCTCAGGTTAATAATCCGGGTTAATTGCTTGCATAATTGAAGGAATTGGGGGAGTAATAATCACATAGGGGGAAGAATAAAATCCTAGGCTTGTCTACTTTGATTAATCTTCGTATTTTTAATTGCTTTCTTGTTTTTGTGTTTTTAATTGTTTTAGTTTAATTTAGTTTATTAATCCTTTTTCGACTGTGTAGGGTGGGCTTGATAACAATTGGTAGAATTTAGCGTCTAGGATTAGATAATTAAATATTCCCTGTGGGTTCGATATCCGGACTTAATAGTCCACTATATTACTTGTACGATACGTGCACTTGCGTGTAGGTTTTCGACCAACATACGATAGCAACCTTCCCTTCAAAGTATCAGACATACTTGAATTGTCTCTTCCTTGAACCAAAATCCGCGCGAAAGAGATATTTAATCCCTTTTTTTTTTATATAAACACAAACGCAGAATCTAAAAAACAACAAGCACTTAATTAGTACTGAAAAGGGCAGTAGAAAAATGGGAGGCGGCGGCGGAGCAGCGGCGGCGATGTTTTGTTCATTGTTCTTGCTTTTGGCCCAAACGACGCCGTTTTGTGTCGGCGAAAATGTGACTTACGACCACCGTGGGCTGGTGGTAGGCGGCAAGAGACGAGTTCTGATTTCCGGCTCCATTCATTACATGCGAAGTACACCTGAAGTCAGTTGTCATTCATTCATTACAAATATTAATTTCTTTTCTCTCTCACACACAAACACACTCAAACACGCACTTATAAATGTAATGTAAATGCAGATGTGGCCAGATTTGATGAAGAAATCAAAGGACGGAGGATTGGATGCGATCCAAACTTTTGTTTTCTGGAATTTGCACGAACCAATTCGCGGCCAAGTATATATATATATATTTTTTATTTAATTAATTTCTTTTCTAGGAATTTATTTATTTATTTATTTCCAGATTGTTGTTTTAACATGTGAAAAAACGTGGGGAATTAATTGCAGTATGATTTTGAAGGAAGAAAAGATTTGGTGAAATTTGTGAAACTTGCCGGTGAGGCTGGTCTCTTAGTTCATCTCCGAATTGGCCCTTATGCTTGCGCTGAGTGGAATTATGGGTAAATTCAAGGACTTAATTGATATTTATAATTTCATGGCTTAAACAAGTATATAGTATAATTACTCAATTATTTTTTTTTTATAACAGTGGATTTCCTCTTTGGTTGCATTTTATACCCGGAATCGTACTCCGAACCGATAACGAGCCCTTCAAGGTTGTTTTTTTTTTCAATTTTAATTGTAGCTATTTATGTGATACGCTTCGTTATGCGATATTTTTTTTCGTTATAGGCCGAAATGAAGCGTTTTACGACCAAGATAGTCGACATGATGAAGCAAGAGAATCTATACGCGTCACAAGGCGGACCAATTATATTATCCCAGGTGTAAATATGTAATCTGCTAATTAACTATGTCAAATCTTGTGAATTGCTAATTAAAAATGAGTACAAAAATGTTGATTTTGGTATATTTTATTTCAGATCGAAAACGAGTACGGAAATGTTGATTCAGCGTACGGGGAAAGTGCCAAAACGTACATAACATGGGCTGCGTCGATGGCTACATCACTCGATACAGGGGTGCCATGGGTAATGTGCCAGCAAAGCAATGCTCCTAATCCCATTGTGAGTTTCGTAATTACGACAGAAATTCGTTAATTAATTATCGACGAAAAAAACCAATGTACTTACATTTTGTCGTTTTTAACGAATGTATGATAGATCAATGCTTGCAACGGGTTTTACTGTGACCAATTTAGCCCTAATTCTGTTAACAAGCCCAAAATGTGGACGGAGAATTGGAGTGGATGGTAGGCTAATTTAGTTTCGGTAACTATCTATGATTAAATAAAAAAAAATTAAATAAAAAGAAGAAAAAAAATTACAGGTTTTCTTCGTTTGGTGATGCTGTACCGTACAGACCTGTGGAAGACATTGCTTTCTCGACAGCTCGTTTTTACCAGCTTGGCGGAACTTTCCAGAACTATTACATGGTACTTTTCAATGATCATTGTAATAATATACGAAACTTGATAGTAAATACTTCTTATTGTGTGAACTTCATTGCAATTTTTTTTTTTATTTTTTTTTGACAGTATCACGGTGGGACTAACTTTGGTAGAACTTCCGGTGGACCTTTTATTACAACGACCTACGATTACGATTCTCCGATCGACGAGTATGGTATGTTAACTATATCGATTCTTGAAAACATATATTATAATTATTAATTAGTAATTAGTAAACCATCAATTTCTCGTTATTAGATTTTATTTATTTATTTTAATTTCCTGTTAACAGGGCTTCTGAGGCAACCGAAATGGGGTCACTTGAAAGACGTACACAAGGCTATAAAGCTTTGCGAAGAGGCTTTGGTGGCAACTGATCCGAAAACTACTTCTCTCGGTTCCAATCTGGAGGTCGAATAAACAATAAATAATAATAATAATACATCATCCCTATGTTTTTATTATTTTTTTTCATTTTTTATTTTCTGACTAATGATTATTCTTTCTTGATTTTCAGGCCACCGTTTACGAAACCGAAACAGGGCTATGCTCTGCTTTTCTTGCAAATGTGGACACAAAATCCGATGCAAATGTTAAATTCAACGGCATTTCTTACCACTTACCCGCTTGGTCCGTCAGCATCTTACCCGACTGCAAGAATGTAGCACTCAATACAGCAAAAGTACGAATACTTTTATATACTTAAAAATGTCTTAATTATATGTATTAATATATTAGTAGTTTAGTACTTATTTTTTCTTTGAACGACAGATTAGTTCGGTGGGGACCACCTCAAAATTTGTTCGTACGGATGAACTTGTCTCGGTGTGGAGTTGGATTGACGAACCAGTAGGTATATCTAGTAGCAGTGCTTTCACGAAACTAGGTTTATTGGAGCAAATAAATACCACTGCCGATCAAAGTGACTACCTTTGGTATTCAACGAGGTACGTAAAAACCATAATTTGCAGTTCAGTCCTCTTAGTCTCTTAGATATCGGGTTTTAAAAATACGGTCCTGATTGTTTCAGCGTTGAAGCAAAAGGGGACCAGCCTCAAACAGTCCTCCACGTGAATTCTCTTGGCCACGGGATTTATGCTTTTGTCAATGGTGAACTTGCAGGTATTTTGCGACGTAATTAATTAAATAACTTCTTACATATAACTTTTTGTCTTAAATCATTTTTCTGTCTGTAATATAATTTTTGGTTATTGTATACGAAGGGAGTCGACGAGGAAGCTACAGTAACCCTAAAGTTTCGATAGATGTTCCTATTAACCTCGTACCTGGACAAAACAAGATCGATCTCTTGAGTTTAACAGTGGGACTTCAGGTTATTTAACAAAAAAAAGAAACTAATTATAAATTATAATTACTATGGTAATTAATAAGTGTTTTTTATGAATACAGAATTATGGAGCATACTATGATAAAGTCGGGGCTGGAATTACCGGTCCCGTGCAGTTGAAAAATTCACAAAATGGATCGATTGCTGATCTATCCTTGAAGCAGTGGACTTATCAGGTCGTTTATTTTACAATTTCGTCCTTCTCTTTTTTACGCGCATGTATAGTTTTTTCTTTAAAATGCAATAAATATTATCCAAATATACGAACACTAAACGATTTTGAGATTTTTTTTCAGATTGGTTTGAGAGGAGAAGAATTAGGATTGTCGAGTGGAAGTTCTTCTCTTTGGGCATCACGGCCTACTTTACCGAAGAATAAACCATTGATATGGTACAAGGTAATGTTATTATTCGTAAATATTATTATTTACTAAATATTAAGATATATACTTATGTAATTAACAAATTCGATCGTAGACCACATTTGATGCCCCGATCGGAACAAGCCCAGTAGCAATAGACTTTACAGGAATGGGGAAAGGCGAAGCCTGGATTAACGGCCAAAGCATCGGCCGTTATTGGCCGACATATATCGTTCAAGATAACGGATGCAACGACTCGTGCAGTTACATTGGATCTTTTAGCCCTAGCAAATGCATGACCAATTGCGGAAAGCCAACTCAGCAATTGTAATAAGCACTTTCTTCGAAACAATTTCTTACATCATCTAATATTTACTCGTCACAAGTACTAATATCGATATATGCGTATTGTTGTTAGCTATCATGTTCCTCGTTCTTGGATAAAATCGAGTGCGAACACGTTAGTACTTTTCGAGGAAATGGGAGGTGACCCCACACAGATATCGTTTGCCACGAGAGAAACGGGGGGTAGTATATATGCGGTGCAGCAGTGATCATGTGGCTATTGCATGCAATTATTGTACATAAGGTTCTAATTGAGAATATTCTTTTTTTCTTTTCTCTAATTAATAATTAGTGTTGTTCGATTATTAATTTGTTGATGCATGTGGACAGGCATGCATTGGAGCTGGTGATTTTATGGCAAAGATGCCATTTTTAATTTATTCTTTAAAACAAACTTCTTGTAATAATTTGTGACACGTAACGTTAATTTTACAGAAATCAAGTTCATGGTGGTTGCATTTGTGCAATAAATCTATAATTTTTCTTTTATATTTTCGTACGAACATATGTAAAAAATATTTTACTATTGACTATTAATATACAATTGACAATTAAATCTATGTAAATAATTAGAAAAATATTTGAAAATTTGATATTCAAATACGTCTTTTCTTCTTTAGTGATTGCACAATGACCAATAAAGTCTCCGGCAAGTGTCTTCGAGTATTAAAAACATAAACATAAAAACTAAAAACATTAAGATGTTAAAGTTTTCGTGCTACATCGATTATTGGTCAAAGGCCTCGGTCCCACTGAAAGAAAGAAGTCCAAATTTCCCCTTAAATAAAATATACTCTAATGAAATTGAAATTGAGACGATAAGAAAGAAAAGAAAGATTTTACGTGTACACCCCCAAAGAAGAAACTAATTGCAATCTAGTACTAAACTAATTTCTCACAGTTTGCAGCTTGAGAGTTGAAATCTCTCTCTCCGTTAACCCCCACCGGCACCCCTGTATTCGCCGAATACTCACTAAATTGAATTTTGAGATCTTCCGTTAATTTAATTGTTCAAATTTTTCGAATTTGGTGAATGATTCTCAGATCGTCTGTTGATCTCTGAGCTAGAGCTAATTGTTCACGTTGTTGAAAATCATCACAAAGTGGGTGAGATTTCATTTTCACCTTTTTTTTTTTGTCTCTGATGATGTCAGTTTCTGAATGTTCTCGATGCATCTATTAATTCCGAATTAGTTCATATTTCTAATCACATTTTCATTTTGATTTTGATTTATTGTTTTTTTATGTTTTGTTGTCTTGTGGGGGTGACAGGTAACCGATTACTGGATTATTGAGTCAAAATCGAAGGGCTCTCGGCTTGCACGATTTATTCTGTTTTGGAAATCATTATCAATAATTGAACTGGAGCCGTAGTAGCTATGTCGACCTTGATCTGCGATAGGAACAGTTTGATCAATTGCTTAATTCATTTTGCTGAATGGCATCCTCTTCAATAACACATCATATGGGGCATTTTGAAGCCCGTATTTCCCTTTCCACCGAGGTGAAGTATTCGTCGTTTGATTCAGATTTGTGATTTTTCCGATTTTAGTTATGTTTCCGATTCGAGGGTTTGTGTTCCGATAAGTCACTGAATTAACAGATAGTTTGTATTTTTTTTTTTTGCAGGGTGTGCAATTGAGGTGATTGATTTTTGTTTGTGTGTTGATAAATTTCGATAGAGAAAGAGTGAGAGAGAAAAATGGGGTGCTGTGGGTGTTTTGGTTTCTCGTTGGTCGGAAATTCCAAGAAGGCAATCAGAAACAGTAGGGCAACGAGCAATAACACTTATCGTGAATTGGTTAATGATG